TCAGCACAATAAACAAAGAACAATATAGGGCGCTATGAGATATTCAGCACAATAAACAAAGAACAATATAGGGCGCTATGAGATATTCAGAACAATAAACACAGAACAATATACAGCGCCTGAAATGATCCATTAATGTGTATTCAACCACACGTATGAGTGTCACTCACTCTCGTCCCCCTCGGCGCGTCCCAAGATGGGCTTGGTCAACACCGTCGGGTGGCCGCCGTCCTGTTACAGCAAAAACTCTTTATTACCAACTTAAATTGATTACAAAAAATGTATCACTCAAGTATTCCGATGAAATTTCTTCAAATAAAGTCATAATACAGGGTCCTTCAAAAAAGTATCTGATTTCAATAGGCTTTTGCAAAACTCATACGACACATACAGAACAATTAATTTTATTTGTGAATAGCTTATTTGATGCCATTTTATATCACTTAGTACACTTTACTTGGTTTTGAAAATTATGTTTGATAAATGATGTCCCCCATTGTTAAGACATTCACGAAGTCTTTCCCTGAAGTTGCCCATAGCTCTTCATGTAACTTCCCTTGGAATGGCTGCCACTTCCTGCCTAATGACATGTTTTAGTTCTTGCAGATTTCAGGGACGATATTTGTACACTTCAGCCTTTAGGTAGCCCCACAGAAAGAAATCGCAAGGTGATAAGTCGGGGGACCGTGGGGGCTAGGAAATGTCTCCTCTTCAAGACACGAGACGTCCAGAAAACAACTCTCTTATAACATTTCCATCGACCGGCGAGCAGTGTGAGTCTTTCTGTGGGGCTACCTAAAGGCTGAAGTGTACAAATATCGTCCCAGAAATCTGCAAGAACTAAAACATGTCATTAAGCAGGAAGTGGCAGCCATTCCAAGGGAAGTTACATGAAGAGCTATGGGCAACTTCAGGGAAAGCGTGAATGTCTTAACAATGGGGGACATCATTTATCAAACATAATTTTCAAAAACAAGTAAAGTGTACTAAGTGATATAAAATGGCATCAAATAAGCTATTCACAAATAAAATTAATTGTTCTGTATGTGTCGTATGAGTTTTGCAAATGCCTATTGAAATCAGATACTTTTTTTGAAGGACCCTATATAAATACAAAAGTAATTGGAATGTAATGAAGCCAACCCGGGCACTCCCTGCAGTCACTGCACGGGAGCCGTCAGCCTCGCCGACAGCAGCAGCAGGAGGCACAGCAACGACGTCTTCATCTCGGCTTCTTGAGGCGAACTTTTGTCCTAACTGAAAGAAGTTTTTTATCTTGAATATCTTCTAGCTTAAGCAAGAAATTTCAATTTTTATATGTGAAAGAAGCGTAGGTTGATAAGAATTCAAGCCACTCACCTGTACAAAAGGCTATAAGTACCGTGCCATGGTATAAGTACCATGTCATATGCAGATTGTGCCCGTTATGGCGCTGTCTATCAAGTTATTCAGGTCGCTTCCTCACGTGAGTGCATGCGCTTGTTGGGTGCGCGGATGAATGCGTCATTTTTTGTCCACGTCAGCAAACTTGCACGGAATTTCACTGAGAATGAAATTGAGAGAATTTATCCAACATTGCCATGATTTTCCTGAATATTCCGTTAAAACTCCTCTGAATTCTAATTCTATCTCTATCCGGAGAAATTAGGCTCATTTACAGGTAGTGTTTGACTTCGTTGTTGTCACGAAAAACTTTTGTATTAACGAGGGAAGTTCTCATTGACTGATGTTTGTCCAATATAATGCAATATTACGGTTTATATATGACCTATTATAGTACTATTGGACAAAAATATTTTATTCAATAAACAATGTTGTTTTGATACTCATGCTTTGAGTTGAATAAAGGAATCTCTTGCGCAGGAATTCTATATTAGGACTCTGAACTTCTCCCCACACGTGCCGGGTGAACCCCGCTGAGCTGGCAGCTGCGTCAGAACTTCTGACTGCTTCAGCCCGCTGAACTCACCGCTGGTTTTCCGCTGGTTCACCTCACCATCGCAAATTAAACGATTTATTTTTAAGTTTATTTAGAAGAATTATTCGCTTTAATCTCCAATTTTCAATTTTTAGAAAGAACGCATATTTTCACGTTAGGATGCGCATTAATATGCGGCGCTCTGCAGCCTAGTTATCTGAGCGTCTTCATATCTTCACACATAAATAGGATTGCTTCTCCCCGGCTATCTTCATTACCCTCCTTGGAACGCAAAATAAATAGAAAAAGAAATGAAAATGAGATATAAATACCAACCGCAATATATAAATTGGAATAACGCAACAGTAGACCGAATTTTGAGATGGGAAAGCGCCAAGTCTGGGTCCGAAGTTAAGCCTGATAAACGTCCTTGTTGCGACCGTACGGCTGGTGGTCAGAGGAAGGATATGGACATAAATAATAATAATGGCGGTATCAGCGTTTAGTAGGCCGTAGGTCTGTCGCCGGTTCTTAACGTCGCAGAATATTCACAGCACTTTGCGATCTCGAATTCGCAACTCACTGCTACAATTCTGCTGTGCTAAACCGCCCGGCCTCCTTGCCGATTCTGACCAAAAACTGGCGCACAGAGCTGGGATCGAACCCGCGCCTTTCTGCTCCTATCTTGGTACTCTGAACTTTAAGGGGGAGGTTCACCCTAAAATTTTCGGATTTGGCATTTCCGGTTTTTAGTCTCATCTTGAAGCTGACATTCTGCCCTATCCAACGGTACCACTGCGATCTCTGTACGTTAATTTATACGTTCATGACGGCTCTTTAAAGGGGGGCGATTGGGGGGAGTTCCTTCACTAATTAGATGCAAGGTAATTAGCTGCTGAGCATTTTAAATATAGTGTCTGATTGAGTTGCGCTTAAGTTACTCGTTTAGTCTCATCTTAAAGCTGACATTCTGAGCTATTCAACGGTACCACTGCCGTATGTGTACGTCAAAATTAGCGTCCACGACTGCTCTATTCAGTAATTAGATGGGGGGCAAAAATAACTGGCCAGCACTACATACATACAGTATATGGTGTTCTCTGGCATCATGGCTTAGTCACCCGCCTCGCTTCGTATGGAGAGGTGTACTGCAAGTCGCTGCTACCATCCTTGAGTGTAAGCAAGCTACAGAAGCCTGTAGTTTGGTATCCATGCTACATTGAGTGCCTATTTCGGGGCGCGCGGGACTTTGTCGCGCTGTCCTGAAAAGTTTAACTTATTGTCACGGAAAACCTATCTCCTCCTATCCTCCTAGAGTTTTGAAGCTACAGCGATGAGACATATACCATTCGATTCGTAAAGACCGTACCTATCGAATAACGAAGCCCTTTTTTTTAGATTTGCGCATAGTTTGGATTCAAAATGGGGGGGGGGAAGGTGGGGGGAATCTGAAGAAAAAAAAATTTTTACATGCGTGTAAGAAAACTAAGGCAAAAAAGTCGCGCTTCGTTACTCGATTGGTATGGTCTTTACGAATCGAATGGTATATGTCTCATCGCTGTAGCTTCAAAACTCTATAGAGGAGATAGATTTTTAAAGTACCCCCTTTTTTGGCCGCTTTCTATGAATTTCACGTTTTCTATGCATTATTTCGAAAAAATCACATGAACAAAATGTGATTATTTTTCGGTTTTATCTAGTGGACATGGCATATAGCCAGTGGACATGGCTGCCCAGTGTATATGGCATATAATTATGATTTTATACATAAATTTCATAGAGCAATTATACGGAAAATATTTTAAAAATTAATATAGAGCTGCGGTTGCTGGATATACAAGTGAAGTTGAATAGTGAATATAAGTGAATATAAAAGTATCGTTACTGAAAATAGAGATGATGAACATAAATGTTTTGTATATGAAAATAAATGTTTTATTGTTTTAAATTGTTGCTGCGAGACAAATATTTGTTCTAGGCGATGAAAACATATGTCACGCAAGGGCAAAAAATGCATCGCTATTTCTACGAAATATCACTCAATTCTCCGGGTTCCCGTTGATGTGTTTGTGTACATCTCGTACTAATGTGAGAAATAGCGAGTTTACTTTTTTTAGGATTGTGTCATAGCTTCATTTCTTTATCTAGATCATCAGCTGAAATTAGACTATTTCACGTGTATGTGCTCGTCAATTGGTGGTTATTTCATGTCTGCACGGTCTCAAGGACAGAAAAAAATCGCCAGTCCCACATTTTTGTTCCCCATTTTACACTTTGATACATTTTCTCACCTGGAATGCGAGTAATACAACAGTTTCTGCTAGAATAGAGGTTGTTTCTTCGAACAAGTCACTCAGATATCAGAAAAAGTGTAGCTGTGACTAATTTATATATGCAATAATTCCGTTTGGAGAGTTGGCTGTTGAGCAGGGTTTCACTCTTATAAGGGTTGCCACTATAAAATTATTTCCTCACAACCATCAATAATTGGTTACATCATAAATAGCTGGTTGTTCATGAGCCATTGCGTACCGTTGATCTTGGAATGGACCATTGCACTATTTACATAGAGCCATGGGCTTCATCTGGCTATCCACAGTTAACCACTAATTAATAGCAGTTTCAGCTTTTATTAGGTCGTAGGTCTGTCGCCGATTCTAAACATCGCAGAACATTCACAGCTTGCTCCTGTGTCGAACACGCAACTACTCCAATCTCAGTACCCTGAATGGTAACCGCTGGGCCACCCAATGCCGGCAAACTCATGCTAATTGCCATAAAAACTTCAAAATTAATTGATCATGCTAACGCACTAATGATAATTTAACTTTTCATTAACTATTGTCAACGCTATTCTTACCTAATGCTTGGTAACGGTGGTAACCGTACGAAGTCAGATGGTCAACCCTCATCTAGGGTGTCACCGATGTTGTCGTATAACTCGTAACTCGTACCCTGACTTGGTTCGTCATGACATCGATGGCCGTGATAAGCGGGCATGAATGACTGATTCATGGACAGGAGTAGGGTGAATGCAATTTTGACTAGCCTTTCCTCTCAAAGAGGCAAGTGACTGTACTTCTTAAATGCGTTGTATCTTTATTGAGTCTCAAATAAATCAATTTCACATAATCAACCAATTCTGTTGTTGAATTTCATGACCCCTGACGAAATCGAAGGGATTGAAGTGGGCATCTTATGGCCGCCCACTGGGTGTCCAAAGCGTGCTCAGTGAGTGTCCAGTGGGCTTCCAGAGGGTGCTCAGTGGGCTTCCAGAGGGTGCTCAGTGAGTGTCCAGTGGGTGCCTAGGGATATTTGCCGCCTGGAATGCAGCAGTAGATCCCGTAGTACGAGGTGTTAAAGCAGACGTAGCCATAAGGGACGTAAGACCAGAGCGTTCCCCACAGGTAGTACTGCAGGGAAAAAATGCACAATTTCAAAAAAGGAGCGCTCAACAATAACTATACTTTCTCTTACATAGCAACAAATGCATAAACTTCCGTTACAAACACTGTAGACGAAATGTCTAAATAACTTCAAGTTAGGCTAATTTATAGTTGGACAAGTAATAATTATAAATTACTTGTTGGTCCGGAGGACATTTTACGAAACTGCCGCGCACTGTAGCCGCCGTTTGAATCAAACGGACACTTAATTAAATAATATAACAGAATCGTCATCTGCTGACATGGGGATGGCCCTGGAGGAGATGGCCTGTATCAATGCAATTGTTGTTATTCCATTCAACTTACGTAGCCGTAAACCACCCGGCACGAAGAGGCGCGAACATCCCTGGCTTCTGCACGACGAGAAATTAGATTATAATGAAAATTAATTACATAAAAATATAGTTTTAGGAAAAAAATTGAATCAATCCGCTAGAAAGCCACTAATTCAATATAAATCGAGTCAAAAGCGTGAAATTTCAGATCTCATTGCGTGACTCCATAATAAGTCGGTAGCAGGACGCAATACAAACCAAATAAGTGATTAACATTAAACAAAAAGCAATAAAGTATCATGAAGCATTTTGACCTACAGAACACGAAACAATATATAGCTCCTATAAGTTTTCAACATGATGAATGCCAAATAATAGAGAGCGCCTGCAGATATTCAACACACGGGGATAGTTGACACTCACCCTCCACCCCGTCATCTCGCCCCACTTGGGGCTTATCAGGCAGCACCGTCACGGAACTATTATCCTGCAACCGAAAAAGTTTATTACAAACTGAAAATTTATAAATTATTAATTGCAAACTCACTCATTTACGCAAGTCTCGCATCACAAACACAGCGTTCTATTTACGTTCCACCCGCGCACTATTTTTCCCTCAAGCTTTCCTCTTCAACACCCCAAAGACCGGAAAGTATTGTGCATACGAAGTGCACGCGCACAAACGCAATGCACGAATATGCGCAAGCAGTAACTAATCATACGCAATTTTTATTTCAAAATCGGAAAAAAATTAAATTATTTTCAGCGTAAGTAAAAATTGAAATTAATTTTTGAGTTGATATTTTGCAACTTCAAGTCGCTGAGGGATACTTTGTATCTCTCAGTAAAGGGATACTTTGGAGGTTTTTTTCTATTGAAGGTAAATTTTGCAGTTACAGAAAGTATTCTCGTGCCGACATAAAACGTTAATTTGAAATTTGGCTACTGATCCCACTAACTGGGCTATAATATTTAATTAACTTATTTATCGACAAAATGATAATGCTAACCTTGTCACTCCTGACTTCTGGCTGGGTGCCGTTAACCTCGATGACACCATCGCTGGCAGCCGCGGCTACCAGCAGAAGGAGGCACAGCAACGACGTCTTCATCTTGACTTCTTGGGGCGAACTTTTTACTGGAAAAAGCTTTTAGATTACGAAGTGAATACTGCTTAATATTTCAATAATGACGGAAGATCGATAACAATGAGAATTGTTGGGAATTTTAAACAGAAGGGATTCAAAGAAGTTTAATTTTAAGCAAAATCGTACATTAAAAAAACAAGTAAGTTCAGGCTACGTATAAAGTAATTTTTTGGTGCCTATCTTTCCAACAATTGAGAACAGCCAAGACACACACATTTTACATGTTCATTTTACCCATATAAGTAGAATAAAGATGCAAATAATTTTATTTATTAGTGAAGCCAAGCCACTCACCTGAACAAGAAGCTGCTGAGAGTGTGTGGCTGAACGCCGCGCGGTGCCTCTTTTATGCTCCGCAAAATCCTAAAACAAATTCAATGGAAAACATTTTTCTGCCCAAGGTTGCCACAAAATATTGTAGTAATGTCACTGATGTATTAATTGACTTGTCACTGATATAAATGTACGCAGTTCAGCATTTGAAGTCTGTGGTGCATGGTGGTTGGACACATGGTTAATGGTTGCTTTTCATGGTATAAGTACCATGTCATAAGCAGATTGTGCTCGGTATGGCGCTGTCTATCAAGTTATTCAAGCTTCTTAGTCACGTGAGTGCGCTTGTTGGGCACGGATAAATGAACCAATTTTTTGTCCACGTCAGCAAACTTGCACGGAATTTCACTGAGAATTAAATTGAAAAAATTTATTCAACATTGGCATGATTTTCCTGAATATTCCGTTAAAACTCCTCTGAATTCTAATTCTATCTCTATCTGGAGAAATTATGCTCATTTACGTGTAATTTTTGGCTTCGTGGTTTTCACGAAAAACTTTTGTATTAATGAGGGAAGTTCTGATTGGTTGAAGTTTACCAAGTATAATGCAATGTTACGGTTCACAACCAACCTACTTTACAAAAATTATTTTTAAACAGTAATTCAACGAAAAAATTGAGAATTCAACCTCCCGATTTTAGTTCAAAAAATAAATAGCTTTAACAAGACTACTCGATTTTGATTGTGAACTAGTTAATGAGGTCTTGATCGATCGACGGAGATTGATGTGGTTCGATCAAGAATATTTATGCAGATTCCTGCTCGATCGACGAAGGCAAAACCCAATTTGGATGGGGACTGTAGGGGGCAATGTCGCGGGGCGCACCACCGATTAAAGAGGAGAATTCTTTGCCGATTCAGTACAGATCTTCAAAGTTTCTGCACCCAATAATGTGTTGAGTCGTATAATGTGCATCAAACGATGTCGAATCTACAGTAGCTAAAGCCGAATCTGCATTAATCGATGTCGAATCATCATTGATCTACGTCGAATATACATTAAACGATGTCTAATCCGTATTAATTGTCAAATTCAAGGCAGTTGAGTTTTAACGTTTATCGACTACGCGACAACAAATTTAAAAAGATTTTTTCTTTCTCTCTCCGAGATTACCGACACGTTACTCTTTACCATGACAAGTCACATTAGAGTCTTCGCTGTCGAACATTCGCATCGTATATACACTTACGATATCAATTACAAACTAACAAATTCAGTTACTATGATGATGAATAGATGTTATAAGTAATTCACAGCTAAGGGCTCTTACCGGATAAACGTCGACGGCAGCTCCAAGGTTCGAATGCGGGAATTTTCTCTCCGAGTTAACGCCTCAGCCAACTTGCCCACCAAGACACCTTACCACAGAGCTCTATCAACTACATACTGTACCTGCGAAACGAATGGCTAGCAATCGTCTGGTAAATCGAGGAATAGCCACATTTGTGGTGGAACTGTTATTTAAAGATTATTCATTAATATTTATTTACAGGAATGAACTCAGTTTCTATTCAATCGAAAAAAAGAATTTTGCTCGTATTGGATTTGGTAGAAATGTTCGTGAGCAATATCGTTCAATAAAGGAGATAGACAAGCATTGTTTCTCTTGCCCCTTTTTATAATTTTCGGGCAAGCGAAATGCGGTTACTTCCACATTTCCTCAATTTATTTACAGTTAGTTCTCTAGTTTATATAAATTTTATAGTAGAGCTGAACAATTTACACAGCAATTAATTTATTTGAAATAATTGAGGCAAATTTGTAAAGAATAATGGAACACGCTAGAACAGCTGTACGAAAATGTTTTGAATATAAACTATGAATAAGTTTAGATGGGATCTTTTTAAATCCCAAGTTTTGAAGCAGTTTCTTCTTGCAACTTTCATGCGATAGCATCGAGATTTATATCATTTAATAAGATGCATCTTAAAAAACGTTTTCTTTACACTCACGTTAAAAAAAATGTTTGCAGGCAAATAATCGATATCTCCTGAACATTATTAAGGTAAGGTAACATTAAGACTTGAACGTTCCTCTTTGCGGAAGCGTTCAAAATGGGAAAGCTAATAAAATACTTATATATTGAATTTACTTATTACTTATTTGCTCCCTTATTTTGATAAAACACGTATTTCAAAGTAGTAAAATAATTACGTGGTATTTTATTAATCGTAACGGACATCAGAAATGGACCCGAAATAGAGCATTCTATCACTTGAACTAGATTGAACACAATTTTGAACACAATTTTAACTGGGTAATCATATTTTAAAGTGTATATCAATTTACGATTCATGTGCATTGTTCTATTAGATTGAATAGCCAACCGACGAGTTTGCGCATTAATTTTTCGGTTTGCTCTGCAAAGTTGCCCACACTCATTTACTTCGATCTGCAACGATAAACCCACAGTCAATTCGACTTCCAAATCTTCGAGTGGTCTGATCTACCGCGTTCTGCAGTAACCCATATCTCATCGACATCGTTACCCACATTGGTGATTGACTGGGACGCGCGCGCGCGCGCGCGAATTTAACACCACAGTTAAGAGGTATTTCTCACTTTGTGAGAAACACACATCACTTTGTCCGTTGCAGGCTCAATTTCGATTGCTTGAAGCAAACCTTTTTCGGACACGTTATCATATATGATTGCTTGCATTATGCCTATATCAAAAAGGCACATAAAACAGAATTTGATCAAATTTCGATTAGAATGTAAGATTCCGCGCTTTTGAGTGTAAAACTATTTACAAGATAACCACACGCAAGAGATTGTTGTGGCAATCAATGATTCGTCAGAGCTCTCCATTAACTTTGCTCTCAAGAATGGAATGAAAGATCCACCAAGATATACATTGAGTGCAAGTTGGTTTAAAGTTATTTTTGAATAAACATTAAATACAAGTTATGTTGAACAATTACTCACAATTCTGGCATGTGTGGTATTAATTACATCATTCAGACAAGTCATGTTGATTTATGCACGCAATATTATAGCCAAGGACCGGCATCCCATAAGCAAACGGAGAGGTATTCCAGAATCTGGAGCTCCTGCGAGCAGTTACCTGCGCAGAAGGTTCCATTTCTTGTTCACAAATGCATTGACTAATGTTGCAATTTACAAGCTGAATAAATAGACAGTAATAGGAATTTTGTTTGATATATCAAATAAAATACTTGCAAAGACAAATAACTCTATAGCAAGTGCACTGGGATTGACGCCCGTAGCAGAAGCTAAAGTTCGCTGGAGGTTTATTGTCATATGCCCGTCAGTCTGTCACATTGACGACACTCAAGCGTCGAGTTCACTTGAACATCCTCCCATTAATATAACAATAAAATTATTTATTTGAATTGTGTCTCCATGCAGAGTGAATAGTGAAAAATACTTTGATGATCTAACATAGGGAGTTAAATATTGAACAGCGACTTGATCAAAGCGCAGGTGCGTAAATTTCATGATTTAATATTGTATATTATAAATATATCCCGATGAAATATCCGGCTATATTCCCGATCTCTTGTTAAATGTAGTAATGATTCTTTGTGGGAAATACTTACTGAAAGTAATATGCTGCTCATGCGTATGTTAGGAGTGAGTAAAATTGTGTTAATTGTAAAAATATGTTGATATGAACCGGCAATCTGTAAGCGCGATGATGTCCGAAAGCTCTTATAGCAGCGCCAGGCAGAACAAACCTCAGGACTCCAACCGAGCAGGGAAGTGAATGAAGAAGTTTCGTAAACTTCACAGTAAATAAATTTAAAAACCCGAAGACAAATCATGATGTAGAGCAGATAAAGGATGAACCCAGCGAATAGTACGCACTGGTCAAAACTCAACAGTTATTTTTTATATAAAGAAATTTAATCTTAAATTAGATGAGGCATTGGCGCTTAACCTTACAACAAGAGATTAACCTAACAAAACGGCATATGCAATCACTCACCATTCATAAACATCACAAACACAAGTGCATTAAATATTTACAGCAAGTGACATTAGCTATGAATCACAAGAAGGCTCAAAAGCGACCAGTTTCTAAGTCTCCGCGAACAGAGTTTTTTCCAAGGCAAAATGTTAGTAAAAATCGAGCGATAAAGTATACGAATAAAATTGCTCATATATTTGAGAAGCAACCGATACATGGTACCAAAAATTCCTAAGAATCCTGGTAGAAATAATAACGAGCAAGAATGGCGGCTACAGATTTCCTTTCTTCATGACATTGCAGTGTTAGAATAGAATAGAAGTGTCGGACATGAAGAAATAGGCCCATGGCCTGTTGCCGATTCTTGTACTTTTTGTGACTTGGTTTACAAGGGACCCGGCATTTGAAGACGATCTTTCCATAACTGACGACTGTTTGAGATTGCTGCTGGACTTATTGCCAGGTCCGTATTGTGCTAGATAGAGATAAAGAAATTATTCAAAATATAAACTCGACTAAAAATATTCATGCAACTCAGATTTTACTAAAATCCAGTACAGTGAGAAACATTCTACTATATGCTGGAGGAGTAGATTATATATAAGCAGCAATAAATTCGAATGATTTTTTTTATATTTATATATTGAATTTAAATATTGCGATAGTTTTCTACTTTTAAATGTTGCTGAATTGAAGGGTGCTGCAAGCACTCATGGGATGAGAAACTTATTCACGGATGATTTATCAAATAAAGAACCAATTAAATACTCATGTGCAATTAACTAATTTTTTCTTAAACATTACGAAATATATTTGCATACTTATTTACAAAGCCGTACAATAACCTCTGGCTGCACATCAAGTAAGGCGTACACAGGACCAACCGATCGCGTATGAGGTTGCAACTGCACAAGTTTAGAAGAAGTTTGAGCCTCAGCCCCGAGCCTCAGCCAAACGAACCGACAGGCGTCTCGTTGAGGTAAACTTATCGGTCTTTAACGTAAATTTCATTGAATTTTTGTATAAAGTTATCCCGTTGACTTTGTACCATACACCAACTTGATGGTTAACTCAG